TTTTGCAGCTCTGCCCCTTGCTCCAGTCCGCGAGGGCACATCACCCGCTAACCAAGGCGCTCCATTGTCTTCGTCTGAATGGCAGATTATAGGGTTTGGCCTTTTGGCCATTAAATAGCGGTGGCTTTATTTTTATTTTAGCCACACAACACCAGGGAAAAGAGGTAATTGGATTAAATTGATGTTCTTCCTTCTGGGATTCAGCAAAGCCCACAAACGCCTCCTTAAAGTGATAGAATACCGGGTCGTTTCCAGGACGCGTCTTTCGAAGGCGCTTTTCTCCCCGCACAAAGGCCCGGGAGCCCACCACCCTGCGCCGGGCCAAGTGTGCCCGAGAAGGGACAGAGGAGGGGTAGAGCGCTCTGCTTGAGAGGGCAAGTGCTTCTGCAGGGCAGGGAACCGCCGGCAGCCCAGACCCCCCTTCTGTAAACACAAAGAAAGGGGGCCTGGGGAATAGAAACCCAAATCCACTTGTAATCGTACAAGAGAATCGGGCGTAATTACTTGAGCAACCTAGATGAAGATTGATGAGGCTTTAAAGCGGCGTTTCGGATCGATCACTCTGCCCTTTGGAGCCTCCAGCCGGGCTTCCCCGGCTCTGATCGGCTCCTTTCCCACCGCCGAGGGAGAGAAGATGGAGGCGAGACTGGGAGAGCAGCAAGGCAAGCCCGGCGCATGTGATTCCGATCAGCTGACTGGGGTCAAGAGGCTACCTCGGTTTATTAGGAGATGGAAAACAATAAAATGAAAGAAAATAGAGTTTGTATCAATATTATCCCGTCCGCCACGCTGGGCTGCTGAAAGCTGTCACTGAAACTGTGCGGTTTAGCTTCCTCCTGTACGCGCAGCAATCCCTGCCTTCCTCTTTATTTATTTTGCAACGTAAATGACAAAATATTGTGCAATAAGGGCTCAAATTGGGTGTTACAGTAAAGAAAAGCATTAACAACATGACAGTTAGATGCGGAGTAATTTGGGCTAAGTGAGTAATTTGAAGTGCTGCTTGCAAGAGCTGGTAGTGAAGTGTGCAGGCAGTGCTGGAGGAGGAGGAGAGGGCGCATCCGAGGCGTTGGCCCCGGTGCGAGCCGCAGCCCCGGGCTCGGCTCGGCCGCGCCAGCACCGGCACGGCGCTGCTGGAGGGGCGAGCGGCCGCGGAAGGCAGCGGGAGGCTCACGTCTCTCTGCCCTCTGAGCAGCGGTCCCCTTATTGCAAAGGAGATTTTTTAGTTGCATAAAACAACCACTGTTTAGTACCTCCTGAGATGGTCAGTTTGCCAGTTTCTAAAAGGTTCATCAGTCAGGTGTTGTACTCAGCTTCTCAATCCCGGAGTTTTATTAATGTGTCAGATGCGTGCTTGTACATGCATGTGATTCTGTGTGTTTATGTATGTATATACAAATTATCCTACAGGCTTTCATGGTTAAATCTAGAAGAATACTTTTATATATTTTCTTCGAAGCAAGTAAGCTTCCTAAACACGGCCGCTGTCAGCTTTAACAGAAGATTGCCTTGATATTGAAGATAAGATGGTGGAAAAGCGATCCTCTTGTCTTTTGGATTAAAGAAGGGTTTTTTGGTTTTTGTTTTCCTGAGTTAAAATCTAACAATTTATGTGGAGAAAGCTGCCTTTTACAATAGGTTTTCCCCATCCCATCTTTTCAATGCCCGTGAACGCGTCTCGCTAAGGAGTATATTTGAGCGAAGTATTGTTACAGTAATTTTAAAAGGATAAGCGGCAGCGAGTTGAAACAAAAATTACCTTGCCGTAAATATATTTAACGATGCTAGCTTTTGTGTGCGTGGGGTATTGAAATAGGTGGGAAAAGGAAAAAAAAAAATCCAAACAACTTAAACAACACCTCCCGCCCCTCCCGCGGTATTTGGCTTTACTTGTCCGAATTGAGGTCTGGATCCAGACTTAAAAATGATGCCCCCAGGCCTCGCAGGGCCAGTGTGGCGAGCAGGGGCTGCGGGCTGCCCTGCCCTGCCCTGCGCCCCCGGCCCGGCTTGGCCGCCGCAGGGACCCTGGGCTGCCAGATCGAAGCGGTGTGGAACGAGCCGCCGCTATCGCACATAAACAGTGATAGCGTTAACGAGGAGCAAAAGGGCATGAAAAGAGAGGGGACCTTCTTCTAACAGGCAGCTATTTTTCACTCTAACCCCTCTGAATTTCGCTGCTGTGATTTATCTTGCAACCCCGGAGCTCACAAACTCGCTTGTGCCCCGGCCGCGGAGTTCAAAGCGGCGGCCGCGGGCAGGAGGGGAATGAACACGGCGTTTACAAACTGGGTTTACGAGGGGGCTCGCCGGGCGCTGGCTCGGCGGAGGGAAGGGCCACCGGGGATGGGCCGGCCGGGTGCCTCCAACCTGACGCCGCTGCCCTTGCCTTGCAGGCCCCGTGGTCCTCAGCACGCCGGCACAGCTCATCGCCCCCGTGGTGGTGGCCAAGGGGACGCTCTCCATCACCACCACAGAGATCTACTTCGAGGTGGATGAGGATGACTCGGCCTTCAAGAAGATCGACCCCAAGGTGAGTGATGCGGACGGGTCCCGGTCCCCGGTCCCGGCACACGTGCGCCGGGGCCGCCCCCTCATTCCAAACTCTGCTCCTGTCTGCCGCCTTTCGCTGCATT